CCAGCAGGTTGAGCGTCTGATTCAGATCGTCGACAGCAGCATCCACCTTCTCTTTCGGGGCCTCAGAGCCCATGATGACAGGAAACAGAGTCTGAGAAGAGCAAAGATCAGCCAGACTTTGGTAGCACCAGCAGCAGCATTTGTTATTGACAGTCATTAATATTCTGTAAGTACATTTATAAAAAGTAGTCTGAATGTGCTTATTTTTAGCTATGTTAGCAGCATGGCTCTAGAGATGACAATCTCTGACAGTCGGTTGGCCGACATCTTAACAATTATTGGATAGATGGTCATGAACCTTTGGTTCAGACATTTGTGCTCCCCGAGGATGAATATTAATGACTTTGGTGATTACCTGCACCAATCACCACTACTTGCACCAATCAGTGCAAGTAGTGGTCGTTTTGAGTAATTGTTGATGAAAATCTATGGATTGAAATGTGGGTCATGACTTAACTTTGAGCACTCTGTTGGCTCAGTACTTGTACTGTACTTGTGCAATGACGATAAGGTTCAATCTAATCTAATCAGGAGCGTAGCTATGTTCCCAGGGTCCTAAGTTCAAAAAACCATTTACCCTAACCTTAACCCTAGATGTGGGAAACATAGGACCCTTTGTCAAGTTCCCATTATGTGCCATACTAATTTTGCTAACAATGAAATGATCACATCTAATCTAACACTTCATAAAAATAAAATGTCAATATATTTAAACATATTAGGTATAGATCTAGTATAAACAACCTCAAAATGCAGAGGTACAAAAAGGAAAAAACTAACAAATGAACTTGTGTATGAAGTGTTGAAATGTGTGTACTGAAGTAGGTCAATGGATACAACACCGGGTTGATCTGGGACTCGTACCCTGAGCAGGAAGACCTTTGAGCCATGAGCTCTGAGGTTCATATGCTGCCAGGACAGGTATTCATTAACACGAGCTCGCTGCTGCAGGTCAGCTGGATACCAGTGCTCTGCCACTGATGACGAATATTTCTGCACCAGGTACTTCAGGATCGCAACGCTGCAACACAGACAGCAGGAAGAAGAGAAATGGAACAAATGAATGTTCAGCAACAGAGAATATGGCAACTGTTTCACCTAATGTTGTTCAACTACACTGAAAATATTATCAAGCAACCAGGAGACACAGCATACATATTTACTGAAGTTAAATGGAACAAGTAATGTGAAGCAGGACAGGAGCTGCCAGACAAACTGTTTTATTGAATATTAATTGATTATTCAAAGGGTGTCCATGTAGCTCAGGTTAAGCTGCCAACCATGAACTACAACTTCACAGTCTGAATCCTGCTGGGGACCTTTGTTGCAACTCTCACTTCCTGTCATCTCTCTGCTATTGCTACCTAATAAAGAAAGTATATTATATTATAGTATATTGTTTGGGGGCCCTCTACAGGCTGCAGAGCCTTATGCACCCACTTGGCTTGTTTATGTCTCAGGCAGATGAGTTGAAACTGAAAACCATTCAACACCATTGCACTGGTGATGAAGCTACAAATCACAGCTGAAGATCTAAAGACTTCAGCAGGTCAAACCAGAACTATCTGCGTGGCTAGATCCAGAGTGGAAGAATATGTTGGCCCTTACATAATAATGAGCAGCCTTTGAAAGAGATCAACAAACTCTTCCTGCGGATTTTCAAAACTTACTTGCTGATGTCTAAAATATGAATGGATGGACTGATCAGACACATATTGTCATTATTTGTAATGTAAGGAAATCTTAAATCCAAACCATCGTTGTACCTCTCCGTCAGAATGAAGCTTCCATCCTTCATGACAGGAACCTTCCTCATGATGCTGATCTTTCCGAACTCCTCGCTGTACTGCTGCCCTGAACAAACACCAGCAAATGAGAATCACAGATGACTTAAAAAGAAAAATATCTGCTGTCAGTTTGTTTGTGTTGCCATGTGAACAGAAAAAAAGTATACATGCACACAAAGCACATAACTGAGGTTTGTTCCACCATTTGGAGAAAATGGTGAGTTTATTTTACTCTCCCTCCCTTTTCTTTGTTATCTGCTTTGGAACGCTTCTCTGCTTTGCGTCCCTGAGGTGAAACTCAATCACCTCAGGGACGCAGGGATGTTTTTTCTAGATGCTTTGACCTCAGACCCACAACATCCCACCAACTGTTTTCTTGTAAGTTGGTTCTCTAGGAGTTAATGTAACTCTACTCCTCAACTTGCTGAATGAGTCTGTCAGCTTTCTGGGTGAAATGTGAAAATGTAAACTGATCCCCCAGAGGAGTGCTGGAATGTTCAAGCTTACAGAACAAATTCAAATCCGGCAGGACGTTCAACTCCTGCTAAATGTGTTTACAGAGTTACAAAGTCAAACACAAAGACTAAGTCTGCAAATATAACTATGCAGATTTCTGAGGCTGGAGTTTATGCAACAAGTTCAAAGTTTGGTGGTCACTAACTCCACAAACATCTGGTCTGTACATATTCAAAAGCCCCCAAAAAACATCAATAGACGGACAGACAGACAGATAGATAGATATCTGAAGAGAAATTACTTCCTGTAGTGGTCGTTATTACTATTTTAAGATAGAATGTGAACAAAAAGCCCAAACCCTTTACTAAAACATGCACATTTAAGCTATGCATAAATTCAAGTCTCATCCATGTCCCTGTGACTGTCTGGGGTGTGGGATTACCTGTAGCGAGGTCGACAAGCTTAAACTCAAAGGGAATCCCGACCGCTTTGGCAAACAGAAAGACGGAGCGGCAGGGCTGGGAGTGCAGGTCGAGATAGAGCTCCATCATGTCCAAGTCTAAAGGCTGCAGATGCTTCCTTTCCACCACGTTCACTCTGAGTTTTCAGTCCTCTCCTGCTGCGCCTGTTGTCCTCTGTCTGCCCAGAACTCCTCCTCTTCTTACTGTGAGGCTCACTGATTTCTAAATGGTGGCGACAGTTCAAAATAAGCAGGCCGTCGTGGTTGAACAGTCTGACCTTTGGCCCCTTAGCTTAGCCCAACATTTTATAAACACTGCTTATTGCATTTTTATCTGCTTGGGGTTCCTCTAATCTGTGATTCAGGGTCCTCTTTATAATGTAAAGTAATTTAATGCAGTCAGACATTAGTGAAGACGTTAAAAGTTTGACATCAAGTCAATGATCACATGGATAAAGATTTTTAAAATGAGTTTTTGTACACCCTGTCCCCTCATGATTTGCACCAATTTTCACTTTACTAATTACACTAACAATGACTTTTATTAACTAGCTGGTGACTACAAAACTATGTTATTTATATTATTTGTATATGATGACACTTTTTCTTATTAAATTGGACTGAAAGTAATTTACAGTAATATAACAACAACAATTTTGATAACCAATTCATTGTTTGTCATTTACAAGCAAAACTGCAGAATATACTCTGTTCCAGAGTCTCAAATGTGAGAATTTGAAGCAGTTTGTGGGTTTCTAAAGTGGCGCACAGACTGGATGCAATGACGTATGTCAAGTCGATGGAGTCTATTCATTTTCTATGAAGAGCAGGAGATCAGGCGGCATGATGCATGATGGAATTGATAGACTGTTCACAGTGTCTGTTTTTGCATGAACACGACTCAACCTCTACTTCATGAATCAATCCAGAAAAAATGCCCCAGACTCACAAAACTCAGATCAAACTTTTAAACTAGGCAGCACTGATCAAATATGATCAAGATCTGTAACTGCATTGTCTATTTCTCACCTCAATAGTTCTCATAAACATTGAGCGTTTAAATCATTAAACCCTCAATGTGGGCGGCTCCAGCTGTTGCTTCTTGGCAGTGGCTGACTTGCCTAACTCCTGGCTAATCCAAATATGAACAATGGTGGAGATGTGGAGGACTTGATGAAGCCTGGTTGCTGTAACTAGCCACCTGTGATGGTACCCACCTGTCACTCAAAGCAGCCATGCCCTTAACTATGCATAACTTAAAGCCTAAATATTGATTTAACGGGTCAGTTATATAACAATGCCGTTCAGTGATCATGAAGGGGAAAATTATGTATAGAGACGAAAACCTTTTTTGTACCAGGCTGTTAACATGTTTATTTCTGCTGTAAAGTTGAGCATTTTTACATGCACACTTTTGGAACGAGCTTCAATTGGCCATTCAAGGAACTGTTTTTGGCATTTTGTTGTTTAACCTGAAGGCCCAGGTTGTGCAGCGTTTAGTGTAAATGTCATGGATGGAGGGTAGAGAGGTCCCAATAAGGGGGTCTGCTATCTTCACTGTCCTCTGTAGGAACTTCCTGTAGAAGGTGCAGTGGCATGTCAAGACTTGTTTAACTTGGGTGGCACTGACTTATGCAGGGCTGGCAATGAAGAATACATCCGCAAACTTGATATCATTGGAGTCATTTGGCGAAGCAGTCGTGGGTCAGGACCTGGTCAGAATGGCAGTGGGCAAGGCAAACATCCCTGGGGTCTTCACTGAGTGTGGTGGCTGCTAAGGTGCTATTCTGGAGGCATACTGTCTAGGGTCTCTCTGTGAGAAAGTCCAGAATCCAAAGGGAGGTCTGCAGGCTAAGGGGGCTCAACTTCAGTATGAGCTTCTGGGGGATGATAGCATTCTCACATTGGTGTTACCCATGTGTCACAGGGCTAGGTGAAAAGGAAGAGGAAATGACATGGCCTGTGGACCTGGGGGTCAAGTAATGTTGCGAGGCAGGACTTGGCTAGAAACACAAATCACTTCATAGTAGCGTTTCATGGTCTGAGCAGCCAAGGCAGTAGCCGGGTGCAGCCTTGTATGAGTCTCAGGTGTTTGTATATCCAGATCCAGAATGTTCATCCTTTGCAAAGTTGACATGCTGATGCAGATTTCAGAAGAACAGTTTTGAGATTGCTGTGGTTAAAGCTGCCGTGATGTGCCGATGGCCCCATAGAGAACAGATCTTCTTTACTGTTTGTGCTGGGAGGGATATGTATAGTGCCACAATAATAATGTTGGCAAACACCCACAACAGATAGAAGGAGCAGCCATTTAATGTAAAGTACTGAACAGTGGCTGGAGACCACTGTAGCAGTAATAAAAAAATATATATCTGCAATATGTAAATACAGTAAGTATGTACAAAACTACAAAAAGATCAGCAAGCAGAACAGAATCAAGATTAAAGTGACTGAAACCTTTATTTTGAATTTTGTTGAGGCGGGATGAAAAACATTCATCTTTCTTCTGGATCTTGTTCAGCAGTCTGCAGAGGTGGAGGCTCCTGCTTCTGAATCAGCCTGTTGAGTAGCCGCATCAGATTGGTCAGACGGCTCATCAGAGCTGGATGTCTTCTGACTGCAGAGTTTCCTGAGGGACGGATAAAGCAGCAGCATTTATCAAAGAAAAAAAATACTCAAACCAAGATTATGGTTTAGTTTTATTTATATATTCCCAGACCATCACAGATCATCACTATACAATTGTTTTGGCAAACTTGTTAGCAACATTAGCACTAATTTGGAGTCATTTCATTACTCTCTCCTGAAGGATCAGAATAGTATAAACACAGTATAAAATCTGGTGTTCCCTTTGCTGTGTAAAGTCTAAACTGAGAGAAAGTCAGCTTTTTAGCCATCAATACTGTAAGCCTGCCTTGTGCATTTGGACAACAGGGACAGGACAAACGGTCCTGGCTCCACAATAGTGGACCAAGCTCCCCAGCAGAAACTTTACACATCTTCTGTTGTAGACTGGAAACACATCTGTTCAGACTGACAATTGGTACCTAAAAACAAAACAAATGTAGCATCTGAAGCAGTTACATATCAAACAAATACAAAATTTATTTAAAGTTGATGTACTTGTGTGATTACATTTTTGAAATGTATCCACATAGTTGAAATGCACTTATTGTAGGTCACTTTAGATAAAAGCATCAGCTAAAGCTTATTTTTGGAGGATTCAAGTGCAGAGTGAAACACATTTCCACACAGAAAAAACTGATGTGACCCAACACTGCCCCCTGCAGGCAAACGTTTTAACAAACCTGTTGAGAGGCAGCTGGGTGCCGGTGGACGGAGCACCAGTCCTGGAGATGGCTGATTTGTGTTTCCACGTAGGTCGAGGTACGAGGCCGAGGTCACCTGGCCTGTAGCAGGCCATCAGGAACAATGGATCTGTGGCTGCGTTCGGGGTCTCTGCTCTGTGGAGAAGGGACAGGATGAGGGGAACAGGAGCAGACTGTCTTGGCTCAGGATTGATGAGAAGTAACTCTAGCTCTACAGTATTCTTAAATACAGTCTCTCTCTCTCATATGTCAATTAGCATTAACAAATTAGAGACTAATTGCACGCAGATTTAATGAATGAGAACAACGTACCATAATGAAACTGTTGTAACTATAATTACACTAGTGGTAAGCTATATATGATGCTATTATCTGAACTTATAATGAATACACTAGTATTACCCTAATCAGATTTTAACAGAAGACAATTGTGAATTAGTTAAATTGTTCTCAATAAGCTGTTGAAAATGTTACAAAAAGGCCTACTATAAACAATCTGTAGGCTGACATTAGCCAAATAAAGTGTAACCTATAAATATATTAGTATCATAGTAACATTAAACTTTTTATTAAATGTTATTTAATTTTGTACTACTACACTAATTTATACTAGTTACCGGCAGGTGGATAGAGCCTCTGCAGTGGACAGATGTACATTTAGCCAGAGCCAGGATGCCAATGTGCAAATATGCCCATCCATACACATTGCCACAGTGCCAACAATTACTTGAATCACCTCCTGCCTCGACCTTCCACCCACTGCAGGTGACCATCTACGACCTGCCCCCACTGTCCTCTTTTTTGAAAACCAAAATATGGTCTCCTAAAATAGTAAAACCTTGATGTGCGTTATAAGAAAGTATATACTAGTTTAGAAATTTTTATATGTTCCTTTTTGAGACTTTCGTTTTGCCTCCACTATATTTTCCATTGTACAAAGTTTTACTCCACTACATTTATCACATACACATTCTACAATTAGCATAAGATAAGCTCATAAATTATGACCAATATCACTTTTCTTTGTCTCTTCTTTATTTACAGGAAAAGAAAATATGTTGTTGAAATACCCTAACTACTCAAAACTGTTTTTTTCTAAATATATTAGACATATAAGAAGAGACAGAACATTAAAAGCAAACCTCAGCGGGACTCTGGTCCAGCCCACTGTGCGGCTGTGAGGAAACAGCTGCAGTGTGTTCTGGGTTTTTCTAAACAGGTAAACAGTAGCCAGCAACACCACCATCATCACAAGTCATACAATTAAGAGAATCCATCCGGTGACGAGTGATTCCAGTACCTGGCTGGTTCAGGGCCACAGGCCAGCGGCTTCTGTCCTCGACTACTCTTGTCAGTGGAGTCCTTGAGGGCGGAGTCTGTTCCCGGGGGGGCGGTGCTCTCTAGGACCTCCAGCAGTCTCTGCATCTTCCATCGAGTCTCAGACCTCTTTTCTGAGTCCTGCAGAGGACAAGGAACACACACCAGAGCTTCACAAATCAAAATAATCTATTGGTTGTGATCAAACGGCAACCTCTGGGGCTGAAAAAAGATGCCAACACAGAAGTGCCAAAAACTTCGGCTTGATTGAAAAGTGGGTCAATTTCCATGGACACCAGTTTAAATTATATTAAAAGGGGCTATATGTAGTTTTTTATTGAAATGAATCAACTTTATTTGTGTGAATGGGTTGTAATCTCACATAAAAACGATCCACAAGCCGGGTTTTACTGTTGCCTCTGACGACCAGTATGCCTAATCCTAAGTGAAGACTTTTGTATTCTACACCACAGTTAACGAGATGGAGTATGGATAAAAACCATCAAACTGTTTTATGTGCTATAGCCCTTCAGGATGAACGAGAATCAGATCGACATCGGGTGAAAACACAGTCAACATCAGAAATGCTTGAGAGATCTCCGCTTTGTTTTTGGAACCAACAAAACCGACACAGAGTTTGCTGACACCAAGCAGTTGCTAATGTTATCTGGTGCAAAATACTATAACTTTAGCTGTATGGCTTTCCACATTACTTCACCGGCGATACATATTAATATCCTTTGCACCACCGGTATTATGTCAAAGTGTTTATTTTAGCCCGCAAGAAATGATGTAACAGTTCAAAGCAAATGTGGAGCGTTGTGTTTATACTAGCCTATAGCGAGGCTACAGCAGGGGAAGCCAGCTACGTTAGCACAGATCTGCCGCTGTTTGCTTTGTAACACTGAATTTAGATTTATTGTCTTTTTACCGATACTCAGGTACACAGCTTCTCCGCCGTCTCAGTCAATGTAACTATGTGACAAAGTATACAATACTGCAACATAACAACGCAGGATAACAACACAGTAGAAGACCCATTCACTACAGTAATGTTACTTGCTGCGGTCTAACTGTTATAAAGTGTGGCAACAATCCCATTTATAATATTGAGGCCTGATCTCTAACCGTTTTGTTTTCATCTAGTACATTTAGATGTGCTCACATTGCTGAGCCCCCTGGTGAAAGATACACAAATATTAACGTTAGTTATTGAAAAACAGCAAATGAGCTAACACCGACATATCACGTTAGCTAAATGCAGTCAGTGTTACGTTATCATGTAACGAGCACAGTTTACTTCAACCTCAAGCTGATAAAAATATTACTGTAACTGTAAACTACATTTTCTGGATTTGTTTTAGGTTTTGGAAAGTGAATAAATCGTGCTTCTCCTTTCAGCCTCAGTGGGGGCAGTGATTGTAATTATTACAAGTGCCCCAGGAAAAGTATTTGATATCTTAGAAAAATACATAAAAAAAAACAAACTAGAATACAACACATTTCGCATCGAATCAATGGAGCACACCCATGAAGGTGTCAGACCTCAGTTAGAGCATGTGTTATACCGTGCTGTGATTGGCCGGCTGCGTATTTGGGGCAGAGCGAAGGGTCATTTAAGGATGTGGCTGCTTTGAGTGACAGGTACATGTCCTCTCAAGTGGCGAGCTGCTAGGTGGGCAACCGGGCTTCATTTGGCCTACCACAGCTCTACCTCTTTGCCCATAGAGTCAGGAACTGCGAAGATGGTGATTGCCGGAGCTGCTGGGAGCCGCCCACACTGAGCTTCACAATGGGCCTTTCTCATTTCTTTATTTTGTGGCTCCTCACCTCCTAGATCCTCCATCCTCCTGCCTGAAACTGTTTGGAGTAAAGGAGCCATCCCCTGATCACTCCTGAGCTCTATTACAGTGTCTAAACATGTTTTTCAGAAGCTAAAAGTTTAATTCTGTTTCCTCTGGAGAGTTTCCTCTGTTTATTCAGCTACAACAGCTTTTAGTTTAGCTGCTTAAAGTTTCAGTGTGTAAGATTTAGTGGCATCTAGAGGTGAAGATGTGTATTGCAGCCAAGTGTCTAGTCTACCATTGCCCCCACACAGAGCGTAGGACAGCTACGGTGGCTGACACAGCACAAAAGGTGTCTCTTCTGAGACAGCAGAGAGTAGCCAGTCAAGAAATTAGGTTTCTTTAGATAGATATATTAAATTATATTTATTTAATTATTAAACCATATGTTATTGTAACTTGGCCACTAATGTAGCAGACCTCGGCTACGTAAAATTTTAATACAGTAACAGTCCGTATTCAGTAATAATATATATTTCCGGGAATATTAATTTATACCTCGAAATTAGGAGCACCACCTAAAGATTTGCTTGTCCGCCCAAGGCTTTAGGTCCTTGAGTATAGCCTGAGAATTATACCAAGTTCTGGTAATTCATGAAATAGTAAGGTCAATCAGTCAGTCTCAGATCTGAGCCTAAGTTCTATGTATAGGGACTCTAGATTCCGAATAACACACACACATACATCGCTGTGCTCAAGGTGAATTTATTAACTAACAAAAGAGGGTACAATAGTGGGTAAATGTGGTGATATTACAGGGATAACAATTAATATGACAACCAGGAGGTACTAAAACAGGGTAGCCTATGTAAGGTTCGATTGAATTTCAGTTTATATTGTAGAGGGAGAGGGGAATGACCGAAATTGGCTTGCAGATTTAGTTTGACTAATCTAAGGGTTATTAACTGTGGATGGAGCTCATAGAACACCAACGAGTCACAGAGGGTTGTTTGTTTTGGCCTACCGTTGCCGCAGGTCCCATGGCGAGGCTCGACTGCCGATTGGCTCGGGAAGTCGGTTCTGGCCCGACCCCAGTGGCGTTTTCGAGTTGAGTTGAAACCGGTGGATTGGGTCCGGAGTCCTCTTGTGGGAAGCGCTTGCTGCAACAGGGCTGTCAACCAAGGCTTTTGCTCTGATCTCAGTTCATTTGGTGTCGCTATAGGGCCCACTCAGGGTTCTGTCGTCAGAGCCATGGTTTCATTTATTCAAGGCCATAAATGAAGGCTTCTGAGTTTCTGGTCCAAAGTTGCTCACAACGGTCGGATGAGGTTGCAACAACAAAATCAAATAAACTCACACATTCACCGTAGGTTCGCGAGGCCTCTGGAATATAGGCTATTTAATGTTGCTGAGATTAAGCAGGCAGCTCCAAACAGAATAAAAAAAAATCAAATCTCCCGCTAAGAAATTTAGAATTCAGGATCGTAGCTTTCTCAGCTCGTCTGAAGGAGATTTAAGTACGAAACAAAAATCGGAACTTCAAAAGTAAAGGAAGTTAAGAGAACGTATACGTTTAGTTTCAAGAAAGTTTAAAAGAAGAGGTTTTCTTTGAAGAGGAAGAAGCTCGAACAACAGACAGCAGGGCCTTTTTATTGATCCCGCTAGGTAGTGTGACGTCATTTTGGGGATGGTCTCCCAAACGTCGCTAAGGTGTTAACTTTTTGGGATAAAGAAATATACGTTGCGCGTATTTCCCTTTAATCTCTCTCTCCACAATATCGACATTTGGAAAAATACTTAGTTCTAAACATTCGGATAAAGACAGTTAAAACAAGGCTAAACACTATGGAAAAAGGTTATAATGGTTATATAAAACGTAACAAAGCTTGGTTACATGTCCTCAGTATACTTGCTGGTTACTGGTTTTAACTCGTGAGACAATTTAGATGTAGGCGTGACAGTAAAATTTCGTTTATGCAATTACATGGTGATAGTTAGGCCTACTTAACAATTCTGTCAGTGTAAGCCGAGTTTTAAACACTTGCGTGTTATACCTTTCTTGTCCCCTTGGTGGCGCTTGGGTCACACAAGAAAAGAGTAGACATTCCACTTTAACTGACAGGCTGGTGATGAACACGAGCGCTTCCATGGATAATTTAGTAGGAAATTGTATATGAACATTTAACTGTGGTGAACAACGGTGTGGATTTGTGCATTTTACATTGAATAAATTTGGAGCTACCCTAAATTCCTTTCTCCTCCCCAGAGAAGAAGGGGAGGGGTCAAAGTTGCTTTCTCTAAGTGCTATCCCGACCATAAAACTGGCACCTTTTTGATCCCGAAGCTGATAACGCGGGGCCTGACTGTTAAGCTGACAAAGGGACACGAACCAGCCATTGGCATCTCCCTGAACAGCCTATCAAAACTGGCCCCCCACACACGTTTCCGTGGCAACTGATGGTCCGATCTTTGATTTAATCCAAGCTTTCCTCATGTAACCTGAGCTCCCCCAAGTGGACGAAATAAGTATTACATGCCCTCGTCGGAAATGCCGTTAAATGTATAAATATCCTGACCAATAATGTGACAATTGTTTCCTGTTACCAAATGCCTAGAACAGTACAACCGTTCAACCATTGAGGTTCGATTGTGGAAAATATTTGATTATAATACGCGCAAATAGATTTCTTTTCTTTAGACATTAAGTTTAGAAAGGCAGTCCCTTGGGAAACCTGAGACGCCCCCTGGGGAACCACGCCCCAGGCAACAAAAGAGCAACACACGACCTCGCTCTCTTCTCTTCGCTGTTGGCTCTCTTCCACTCTGCTCTGCTCGCTGGACGCTTCGGCACGCGTGTGGCGTGCCTCGCCAGGCAACGCCCAGACTCGGCCAGCGAGACCGGCCTTTTGTTCGCCTGAAGCTACACACGTGAAGTGCCGCGACATCGATCTGCTTTCAGTTTGTTTTATTTTCTTTATTTCTTTTGCTTGTTAAAGTTATCAGTTCGTTAAGTTACACTGGACTAATTCAGGAACGACCAAGTTCCATTTTAAGCCTTTTTCGTCGAGCCAACTTCACCGAGGTCAGACCAAGCCACGTGGTCTCGCCAGCTACAACGAAGGAAACCTGAAAACAGCCGAATTGCCAGACGGAGGAGGCGTCTTCAATCAGACACGGAGAACCCCGGAGAATCCCTAGCAAAAAGCCAGGATCGGGCAGCTAGCGTGGACCCGTCAACACACGTTCTGTGATCAGATGTCCATTTTAACTCCTAAATTATAGCATTACTTTACTTTCAGTAGCTCTTCTATGCCGTATGAGTCAAATGCTTCCCACAATCGAACCTCCAGGCTCATTGTTCAGCAAATGTTTATGTTCCCTGTATCCAACCATCTTTTTATCACCTTAGTTAGAGAATAAATTCACTGTAATATAATCAAGAGCTGTGTGTGTTGCCTATTTCTAGTTCCTGCCAAGAGAATTGACCCTTTAGATATGAGACTGACTGACTGATTTAAGATAATTGAGTGATTATTAACTAACTGATCACTAGTAATAATTGTATAATTATTCAAAACTACCTAGAGGTCCGGAGACTCTAGGATTATAACAACTCCGGTGGTGCCCTGAAACAAGGAATAAAATTAAATAAAATGATTTTATGAATCTTAAAAATTCATAATTGGGTATCAGTTCTCATAAATTTATTAAATTGCATGACTAAAATTTAGGTCTGCTACATAACTAAAGCATTAGTTAATACTGAACAGACAGTGATTACTAGGGAGTAACAGGGATGAATTAAAACAACTAGTTCAAGATTACTTTCTTATGGGTCTGCTAGTCTTCAAACATCAACTAAAGGATAACAACAGGGTTATTACTTACTAAACTCAGAGGCAAACACCGCTGCTCACTTAGCAAGGTTATTATTTAATCAGAATAAACACAGTTATAATGGAACCTTGCTTGGTTCGAGAAACAGGGGTTTTTATGGTCTCTCTTCTCTGCATTCCTGGCTTATCGCACCGGTTATCAGAGAATGAAATGGTGGTTTATGGCTCAGCCATTCTGTGGAGAGAAAAGAGTCAGGTAGAGGCTGGAGGTGACCTGCTGGAGGGAGAAGGGGTCAGATCGCCCCCTTTCCTGTCCTGTGGACTGTCTTTAGTGACACCTTTACGGCTAGAAAGGTTCACTAAGGCTCTTTGAATACACAATCCTTAAGCGATTCATTGTCTGATTGAGTCTCTTTCGGTCCTTACCAAACACCAGGCGATGTCTTTGGGTTTTACATGTGAAAAGGTCAACTCTCGGGGAGGAAAACTTCCCTCCCTCTTTTGACACCACCTGACCTTCTTTGAAGTGCGTCTGGTTGAGTTCACAACACTAACAAATAATGGAAATGTAAGCCAAGAATGTGTAACATTGTCACTGTTTCTGCACCACGGTCCTTTATAAACCACACAACAGATGAAGTTTATACATACACTGACAAGGGAAACATGTTTATTCTCTCTGTGATTATGGACCTTCACCAAAACTGCCCACCAGCAATAAATATGGCCAGATTATGTTGCTTTGATTGCAGCAAAAAATAAAAATAAATAAATAATTTGATAGCAGTGCTGAAATAGATCTCAATCATGACAGCATGAACAACATTAAAAGAGTCTGTAGCCTGCTTGACTCACCTCTGAAAGAGCCATCAGAAAACGTGATTCCCCCAAATGTCCTCTGCCTGGAGATACTGGGAAATGCAAACGCGTCGGTTGATGGATGTGAATCAAACACCGAAACACACACACTGCAGCACATGTTGTAATGTGAGCATGAATCCATTTGTTGAAGAGAGAAAAAAAATTGTCTCAAGGTGAGATCAAACTGACAACTGGTGGTAGGTGGAGGTGAGAGCTTTACCTACTGAGCTAACTGGATACTATAACAATCACTTCGTCATATATTCTCACCCACCATCTAATGTACAAAAAAAATTGCTCCGATGCAAACTTATTTCCAACACTAACGTGCTCCGTAGTACTGATTGTCCGTATTCAGCTACTGTAAAAACATGACAGCACAACATGGCGACGTCCATGGAAGGGGGTGCCCGCCGTTATGTAGATAGAAATGACTCATTCTAAGGTAATAAAAAGACCACTGAAAACATAGTTATGGATATTATATTGCATTTCTGTCAATAGATCCTCAGAAATATTGCACACTGAACCTTTAATGTCCTACAATATTTGCTGTGAAATTACTGCACGCATGGAAATGTTTAAAAGGCTGAAAGAAGCCTCTCCATTCATCTATTGTCAACTGCTTATCGTGCGTACAGGGTCATGGGGGGCTGGAACCAATCCCAGCTGACATACAATCCCAGCTGAAATACAATCCCAGCTGACATCGGGCAAAAGGCGGGGTACACCCTGGACATGTCGCCAATCCATTGCAGGGCCACACATAGACAAACAACCAGTCACACTCACACTCTTTAGAGTTTAGAGCCACCAATCAACCTAGCCTGCATGTCTTTGGACGGTGGGAGGAAGCCGGAGCACCCAGAGAGAACCCACACAGACACAGGGAAAACATGCAAACTCCACACAGAAAGGCCAGGGCAACCGGGGTTTGACAGCAGCCTCTCTTATGATGTAAATCATTAAAGAAAACAGTCATAGGTCATTACTTACATTACTTAACTTAATTAGCTTAATTTACATCAGGACTATAAAGTCAGATTTGAGTCCTACCTGTTCACATAAGTAAGAATTAAAGTTATTTCCTTAACACCAAAGTGGATCAGAAAATGTGATTTGACTTAATCAACCACATTATAGCCTATAGACAGATGCCCCTCAGAATAAACAGGCCTGAAAGTCAGTTATTTTTTCAAAAGCAATTGCTTGTTAAAAAAACAGCCAATTACATGGCAGCAACTCAATGCATTTAGACATGTAGACATGATCAAGACAACTTGCTGAAGTTCAAACTGAGCATTAGAATCGGGAAGAAAGAGGGTTTAAGTGACTTTGAACGTGGCATGGTTGTTGGTGCCAGACGGGCTGGTCTCATCTACTAGGATTTTCATGCACAACCATCTCTAAGGTTTACAGAGAATGGTCCAGTGAGAAAAATGCCTTGTTGATGTCAGAGGTCAGAGGAGAATGGGCAGACTGGTTCAAGATGACAGAAAGGCAACAGTAACTCAAATAACCACTCGTTACAACCGAGGTATGCAGAATACCATCTCTGAACGCACAACACATCTAATCTTGAAGCAGACGGACTACAGCAGCAGAAGACCACACCGGGTGCCACTCTTGTCAGTTAAGAACAGGAAACTGGGGCTACAATTCACACAGGCAATAGAAAATTGGACAATAGAAGATTGGAAAACCTTTGTTTGGTCTAATGAGTCTCGATTTCAGCTGTGACATTCAGTAGCTTACAACATGAAAGCATGGATCCATCCTGCCTTGTATCAACGCTTCAGGCTGGTGATGGTGCTGTAATGGTGTGGGGGATATTTTCTTGGCACACTTTGGGCCCCTTACTACCAACTGAGCATCGCTTAAATGCGACAGCCTACCTGAGTATTGTTGCTGAGCATGTACATCCCTTTATGACCACAATGTTCCCATCTTCTGATGGCTACTTCCAGCAGGATAATGCACCATGGCACAAAGCTCAAATCACCAGAAACTGGTTTCTTGACCATGAAAATGAGTTCACTGTACTCCAGTGGCCAGTCACCACATCCCAATCCAATATGGGTGGTGACGGCGCAGTGGTTTAATGATGGTGCAATGGATAATACGCTTGCCTTTGGTGTAAGAGACCTGTGTTCAATCCCCCACTGTGAGCCACTGACCATTGTGTCAAGACACTTAACCCCTCGTTACTCCAGAGGCGTGCGACCTCTGACATGTATAGCAATTGTAAGTTGCATTGGATAAAAGTGTCAGGTAAATGTAATGCTGTGTATTAACTTATTGAGAGAAAACTGGTAGTTCTATGTAAAATCAGACGTTGAGCACCCCCATATCGCCAAAATGGCATGATCCTTGTTTTGCTGCGAAGCTTCGACTGTGAGATTGACAGTCAAATCAGGCTCCGCTCATCGAAGCATCGAATCGTCGAGTATTCGGGGTCAGCCCTAACTTTTCCTCTTGCATTTACATATGAAATTGACCAAATTGACCAGCTACAACATTAAAATACTGCTGACTTGTTAATGATAATAATAATAAATAACTACTAGTAACTGATGTGAAAGGGAAAATTCTGTGCAGGTATTTTTACTTTTGATATCTAGGAACGTTCAGCTCTTTCTAATAAAAAACGTCTATTTGTAATGGAGTATTAAACATTGTTGGATTGTTTTTGACTTGCTAAAGATCCTTAGTTTATCCTAAAGCATCTGAATATGATAATATCTCTGGAATACTGCTCCCAATATAATATGATATTCCAGAAAATAGAGAAGCTGTACTGATGCTCCTGGTGCAGTTGTTTTCTTACCTCCAGGATGTTTCTGAGAATGATGGCTGCTTCCTGCATGACGCTATCTAGCTGCCTCCTCCTGCTCCTCTCCCTCTGTAGCTCAGCCCTAAGTGGACCTACTTCGGCTGTTTTTTGACGGCATTCCTCGGACACAGAGGCCAGGCGCTGTCTAAAAACAAAATAAGAGAAGGGCAGCTTAAGGTGGGAGGTATAGCTCAGTGGAGTATTTGATTACAGATCAAGATGTCTATGGTTCAACTCCAATGTCCCCTTCATCATCCCTACAGTAATGTCGCTTGGATTATCTGCTTACTGTTGTGAACTGAGGCGGCCATAAGTAATATAATGAAATGCGATATACTTAATATATTATTATTATTTATGGAAAGTATGAAAGGATGAAACTTTTACCTTAGAGTCTCTTCCTCAGCCATCATGTGCTGGTGGTTGATGCTAGAGTCCTTTAGCTTCACATCCAGCTGCCGGCACTTCTTCGTCAGCTGCTCCACCTCCTAAAGAAACGAAGATGTTGAATGAATTTGGAGATTTTTATTAATCAAAAATGGAGGACATGGTAAAGGAAGGTCTACTTTGTGTATTTGTTAGAACAGACCAATTTCAAACGGAACATATTTGTATTAAAATATTGTGAGACAAATAGAGGGTGAAAGTAAAAACAAAATTACGATAATCTACACCAGCAGTAAAAAGAAGTCATTAAATATCACAACGGGATTTGAAATACCAAAGAATACTGAAAAGAAAACAATTTGCAGTGTGCACTGCCTCTTACTTTTAGACAATGTACAGCACTTTAATTTTAAAAGGGATTGAATTATCTATTCAGGATTCTTGACTCGCAGTACATGCTTTTTCTTGTTACTTTCACTGTTTATTGTGACTGTGACCATGTTAGCATTCATAGTATGCTGAAAACTTACATTACGTAGCAAAAAATAATTTTAATCCTTAGTGGGAGACAGGCTCTCAAGACCAGTGTGCTCCGAAGCGTGTATGATAATAATGGAATTTTAATGAAATAGAATCTGAGGATGACAACCACTTAGATATGAGGAATTAGCTCAAATGGTAGAGCGCTCGCTTAGCATCCGTAGCATGTTGTTACTTGGGTTGTACGCTAAAAGCCTATTCACGTCAACATGAAGAGTGGTATACATAGGCCTGGGAAGTCAGGAAAGGCATGGCGGGAAGAGGAAGGGGGAGCATACTCTGTGAGAGGTAGCAAGATCTATCAAAAACAGAACAGAGGGAAGGAAATTCTTATGGGGAATTCAGGCATAACATCCACTACCTCTTACATGCTAAGACAGCGCACTACCATTTGAACTAACTCCCTTGTGAGTTCCTATTGTAGTCTCCAATTGGGATGTATTGTTCAACAGAATGTGTGAAGATTAGAGGACTGCAAGACATTTGTTTTTAGTAAATGCGGCGGTGTATAAAGGAGGATGAGAACATTTCTGTTGAGAAACTGACCTTATTGTTCCACACAAGGTTGCTACATTGGAGACAGTTATATTGTTGCCCGTTAAACATGGCAGATGTTGAGAAACTGACCTTATTGTTCCGAACAAGGTTGTTACATTGGAGCCAGTTATATTGTTGCCCGTTAAACATGGCAGACTTAAGATAGTTATAGTGCAACAAGGCTGTATCAAGGAGGATGAGAACATTTCTGTTGAGAAACTGACCTTATTGTTCCAAACAAGGTTGTTACATTGGAGACAGTTATGTTGTTGCCCGTTAAACATGGCAGATTAATGACTCTGTTGAGAAACATGGGAGACTAAAGACAGTTATTCTGCGACGAGGATGGGATTCGAACCCACGCGTGCAAAGCACAATGGATTAGCAGTCCATCGCCTTAACCACTCGGCCACCTCGTCTGCTGTTGCTTGGATTTTACAGTAACAGTCCGATCCAGGTCACCATTAAGAGTGGTTTACATAGGCCTGAAATGTCAGGAAAGGCATAGCGGGGAGGGGGAAGCAGACGACTTAAGCGTGTGCATTTGACACAGGGGAATTAGCTCAAATGGTAGAGCGCTCGCTTAGCATGCGAGAGGTAGCGGGATGGATGCCCGCATTCTCCAGCAGCCTTTAATTTCCTCTCTGTTTGTGATCAGAGGAAAATATAAGAGAGTTGACAACCACAGAGCGACTTCTTGCACCAGCTGAACCGAGAACTGCTTGGAGACAACCTGTGGGTCTTTCTTCATAGTCAAGTCTTAACTCCCTTGTGAGCTCAGTGGGGGTCCGCACACTGTGCAATTTACTGCAAGTCTGCTTATCAGAAGGATGGATTTCACACAGCAATGTTTGTGGAATTGTCAGATGTGGTGTTGGATGTAGTGAATGGAAGTGACCATCTTTGCATTGTTCCTCTTTAAAGGTTGTATGACATGATCATTGGGGACGAGGAGGAGTGAGGCGAAGCCACACCAGTTGGTCAACGCACTGGGGAATTAGCTCAATTGGCAGAGTTTACTCTGCGAGAGGTAGCAAGATCTATGCATTTTTCAACTATTTCCTCTTATCAAAAACAGAACAGAGGGAAGGAAATTCTTATGGGGAATTCAGGCATAACGTCCACTACCTCTTACATGCTAAGACAGTGCACTACCATTTGAACTAACTCCCTTGTGAGTTCCTATTGTAGTCTCCAATTGGGATGTATTGTTCAACGGAATGTGTGAAGACTAGAGGACTGCAAGACATTTGTTTTTAGTAAATGCGGCGGTGTATAAAGGAGGATGAGAACATTTCTGTTGAGAAACTGACCTTATTGTTCCACACAAGGTTGCTACATTGGAGACAGTTATGTTGTTGCCCATTAAACATGGCAGACTTAAGATAGTTATAGTGCAACAAGGCTGTATCAAGGAGGATGAGAACATTTCTGTTGAGAAACTGACCTTATTGTTCCAAACAAGGTTGTTACATTGGAGCCAGTTATATTGTTGCCCGTTAAACATGGCAGACTAATGACTCTGTTGAGAAACATGGGAGACTAAAGATGGTTATAGTGCAACAAGGCTGTATCAAGGAGGATGAGAACATTTCTGTTGAGAAACTGACCTTATTGTTCCAAATAAGGTTGCTACATTGGAGACAGTTATGTTGTTGCCCGTTAAACATGGCAGACTAATGACTCTGTTGAGAAACATGGGAGACTAAAGATGGTTATTCTGCGACGAGGATGGGATTCGAACCCACGCGTGCAAAGCACAATGGATTAGCAGTCCATCGCCTTAACCACTCAGCCACCTCGTCTGCTGTTGCTTGGATTTTACAGTAACAGTCCGATCCAGGTCACCATTAAGAGTGGTTTACATAGGCCTGAAATGTCAGGAAAGGCATAGCGGGGAGGGGGAAGCAGACGACTCAAGCGTGTGCATTTTACACAGGGGGATTAGCTCAAATGGTACAGCGCTCGCTTAGCATGCGAGAGGTAGCGGGATGGATGCCCGCATTCTCCAGCAGCCTTTAATTTCCTCTCTGTTTGTGATCAGAGGAAAATATAAGAGAGTTGACAACCACAGAGAGACTTCTTGCACCAGCTGAACCGAGAACTGCTTGGAGACAACCTGTGGGTCTTTCTTCATAGTCAAGTCTTGACTTGTGAGCTCAGAATGTGAATTTGGATTTGGACCAACACCTCTAAGTCTAACCTCCAATTAGAAGTTCAATGATAGTTTCTGCTCCTTTTTTCAGTTTGTTCTTTTAAAAAACTACCACAAAACAGCGATTAAAAGCTGTTTAGCTCGCGAGATGAGAAAAGCGGCATCGGTTCCAGGTAACTTATTCTTTTACTTTTTCAAAAGAAAAATATGCAATTTCACATAATTTGGGACCATTATTTTTTTAACCATATCTGTGAACAAATAACTGAATTAATAGCTAGAGCACATAATAACTAAACAACAACAACTAGAAAGCATAAGGACTAAGCTTGCTGAAGAATTTTGTCTGCGGAGCGACTACTATTTGATTTTGGAAAAGTTATTAGGGATCCAAGCAGAGAAGCTGCTGGAGCCCTATTGGTTTTGTTCTCATTCTTCTTCTTCTTTCTTTCTTCTTTCTCTCTAAAAGTGTTTGGGCAACAAAAGCTGCTAGATGAAAACTCACCAATAATTGACCTCATGGTGGCGCTATAACAATCAACTTAACTTTTTGGCAATTATCTTGAAAACGGCTTTGTTGAGAACTTCTTTCATCATTTTAATCTCTGGATTCATCTGCATGTTTGCTCCAATGGTCTTCTGCTCTAAAAATGTCAAATTTGCCGACTTTTATATTTTTTGCGAACTCGTCCCAGACGGTTCGCCAATGGACCCTTCACTAAGCCCGCCCCCCTTAGTTACTGTTCCTAAGTCCAACAAACTGTTGGCGCCGCCACTGTCTATTACTGCACTGCCTGGAGAAATATTGTCAAATTTGTTGGAAAAGTGATCTCAGATAGAAGCAGACAGTTTTGCAGTTGCATTATACATTTGAAGGTTGTATTCAGGCTGTCAAACTGACGTGGAAAAAAAATGAAAGATAGAGGCTAAAGCCTACCAATCACACAGTACAAGTGAACCACCGCATCCCCCGACCACTGAGACAAAAGACAACGATATTAAGGATCAACACTGTACCTGTAAAGCTGGGTAAGCCTCTATTCATTATTGCAATCATTAAAAAGCAGAACAGTATGGCTTTATTACATTACATTCAGTAGGAAGTTAGCTAGCGTTAGCTAACTAACATTACATTAGGAATAATCCACAGCCGACATTTTTCTGGATTTAATTTAGGTTTTACAAAGAGAATAAATCGTACTTCTCCTATCAACCTCTCTGGGTAATGACTGTAACTATTACAAGTGCCCAAGGAACAGCGTTTGACCATATCTTAGAAAAATACAGCCAAAAGCTAGAAAATGACTCTTTTTGCATTGGAGTCAATGGAGCGCATCCATGAAAGTGTCGGACCTCAGTTGAGAAAGTCCTATACTGCACTGTGATTGGCCAGTTTTGTATTCGGGGCGTGGCTTAGCGAAGGGTCAATTGACCTGAAACTTGCACATGATCATCTACGGACATAACTGATCAAAAGTTATCTAAAGAATTTTGATAAGTTGGTCTGTTTTGGTTTTTTTTATTAATTTTTGTGTCTTTACGTACATTTTTAGATAAATGCCCGTAAATCAAAATTGGCATAATCCATTATAACCAAACTTGAAGCATCTTTTCAGAGCTTTACTTAGCAGTCCTGGGATATTCTTCCACTAGGGGGCACTACACTTGCAAAAAGTTTATACCTCGTAATTCGCTGCATGGATTCGTACAGAATTCGGTTTGTACGATCTAGGGTACCTACTCAGTTGTTGGATAAAAATTGGTAATGATTGCCCAAAGTGGGCGTGATATTTCTCATTTCAAACTTGTAGACTTCACACTGAAAGCAAATTTAATATTGATTTTAATATGATGCCGTTTTGTTAGACATATGAATTCATGCTTTGTCAGGTCTGTCAGCAGGACAACAACTTTTAAAATATTTGTTTTCTGAATGGAGTTTGGATCAATCAGGGCTATGCTATGCTAACCTGTTCACAGTCAAGAACAACGATAGCTGGAATAAAGTTACAGACACACATTTTCGGAACTCACCAGGTAGTTCAACTTCCTCGCTTTCTTTTCTCCAAGTAATGTCCAGCTTTGTCCGGGTTTATATAAATATGAAGTAGTAATCCAGCAGAGCTCCGATGCCATCCGACGCTGGATGTGCACGGAAGCTAGCTACTGAGAAGCGCGAGTGAAGATAAATCAAGTTGTAATCCCAAAAACTAAAGTAAAAAGCTAAATTAATAAAAGCAGTTAACTCTGAGCTCCTTCCGCGGGTAAGTGGCGTAGTTCAGCAGAATCCAGACCGACTATGGGTGTTTATTTGTCTAAAAGCTGCAGCACTGCTGCCCGTAGACTTCCCCGTTCTTTAGCAGCCCTCCGTCGGCCAGCAGATTGTCATTACACCGCTCACCAGGTCCTCTCCAAACAACGCTCCAAAGCCGCCGGTGACGTTTGGACAATTTCATTGCCGATAGGCTTTCACAACATCGTCTCAAGCGGATTTCGCAACAAACGCCTCATTTGCGCCGCCGGGAGAGATTTGAAATTGAAATTTGCGTCTTTGCATTGACTTTGTATGTAATCAAGCTGCCAGAGGTCAATTAAACACTCGCTACACAGCTCCCGATTCCTTACAGGAGCTACTCTGCTTTTATAACAGCACCGTGTGCAAGTGAAAGCATCAGTAGCGTATTGTTTAATGATCGTGGGAAATTTTAGTAGCTCCTGAATGAATATAGGGGAAACACTGTGGTTAGTTACACATATTCTCTAACAAACAGTGAGGCCAGGTCCCACATGAAAAAACAACAGAGACCCTGACCAAGATGCAAAAGACAATATGGGGGTATAGCTCAGTGGCAGAGCATTTGACTGCAGATCAAGAGGTCTCTGGTTCAAATCCGGATACTCCCTCTATAACACTTATACCAAATTGTCAATAGAAGCCCTGTTACCTTCTTGCGGGTGAAACTCTCCTTGGTGATCCCGTTGAGATCTTTCTTCAGGTTATCCATCTCAGCAAAAATGTCACTCTCTCTCGCTTGCAGGGCGTCCTTATCCTTCTGCAGGGCCACATTCTCACTCAGCAGGAAGCTAAGCTGCTCCGACTGCTCGCTGTGCTGAGCCCTCTCCTTCTGAAGAATGTTCGAGGTCATCATCCTAATGCAATCGTCCACAGCATTCTGCTTCTTCTCGATCACCCTGTTGATGGAGGACAGGAGAAGGGAAGGCTAAACATTTACAATTTGCTGACCGTCATTTTAAAGCAACAGTTAAACCAACATTAAAAAGGGAGATCAGCATGAAGTCTAGTCTAGACTTTACCTTTTCATCTCCAACTCTGCTTCCTTCTTCAGGCTGTGGATGGCAGCTTCATGCTCCTCCTTCTGAATGACAAGCTGCTTCTTCAGAGACTCCATGTCAGACAGTTGCTGCATCCGCTGCATCAGCTGCTCCTTCTGCCCCTGCAGCTCCTTAAACTTTGCCACTGAGGGGAGGAGAGGAAATTAAACCTCCTAGGAGAGGATGTTTCCCACACTAGGCTTCACACAAAGTGCTGAGAGAACACATTTAAAGCTTGCTTTTAAAAGACACCAAAGTTGTGGTACATCTTATATCATTAAATAGTTTGTTCCAGAGAGTGGGCCCAAAATAACTGAATGCACCTGCAAAGTTTCGTAGCTGCAATCCCAGATCTCACATATTGAATCAGTTTTAAGTTGGAAGATAAAACAACTAAATACTGTAACAAACACTGTGACTGCCTCACCTTGCATCTCGCTCTCTGAGTTAAGTTTGTTGAACTGGTCCTGTAGCTGCTGTATCTGCTGGCTGTGCTGCAGATTCAGGGCTTTTCGGTGCTGTTCGACAGCCTGCAGCTGACTCTCCAGCCGCTCAGTCAACTCGTCCACCTTTTCTCTTTTGCAACCAGGGAGCGCTTTAGGTGCTCAGTGGTGTCTTTGTTGTCCTTCTCAAGCACTCTGTACTGAGAGAGGAGGTCCTTGTTCTGTTTCTGCAGCTCATCACATTTAAGCTGACATCTGCAGGATAAAGAGGGACATGACAAATATTGTAAATACAGTAACAGTATTTAAAATAAAATGATATCAGAGTTGTAATGTTTTTATCATGTTGAATTTGTGATTGAGCTTGACCTCAGTTACAGTACGTCAATAGTGAGCTGAAATATTGTGATAATTCTAGGAACCAGAATTATCACAATATTTAGAAAATAATTTAGAAAATTTCATGAAATGTTTAATTTTGTAAAATAAAACTTAAATGAGGTATGAGAAAAAGTAAAGGCTTTCCACTACATATCATTTTATTGAATGAGGGGAAACACAATGTGCAACATAGTGAAACTGATAACTAAAGTCAATTAAATGAACATTTACTTTAACACTTATTCAGTATTTCTCCACAATCTAACACTAAATCTAACGCAAACACACTTCTTACTCCATAAAAGTGAAAGTCGAAGTTGCTTAACAAGCTAAATACTTAAATTATAACTTCTTCTTATCATGTGGTAGCAGTGGCAAGGATGCCTACTTAATACAGCCTAACTATGCTTAAGAAGGCCAAACTGATGCCCATGCTAACATGGCTAACATCCATCAATATTAAAGGGTTAATTAAAGTAGGACTTTTAAACAGTTTAAAAGAGAACAATAGGGAATATATATACATTCTGTTTATAAACAAACAATTAACGTTACAGCTTTAACGTTAATTCAAAAGAGAATAAGGTCTAACGTTACAGTGCGACCGTAACGTTACAGAATGTGTTAGCAAAGGCTTAACTTAACATTACCTTTCCAACTGCTCATCCAGATATTGAATCTGTATTAAATATAAAGACAGCTCTTTGTTGTCCGAACCGATTACGTCCGCCATATTTCTGTATTTGTCTTATAGTGTTTGGCTTTATGTTGTTTATCTCTGCTTTTTCAATCCTTCTTTTCAGGGTATTTGTCAAAGACGATTTCTCAGTAAAATCGACTTCATAAGCTGAACTACGTTGTTGCTAGGGAATGCTGCCTTCAAGGACTGCTCGGAACGGTCCTTACTTTCTAAACAAACTGACAATTCAGAAATAAATATGTATAATACAGTCAGGGTGCGATTTGTAAAAAAAAAACAGCGGGGGGGGGGGGGGGGGGGGGGTCATGAAAATACTGTTAGGTCTGTCTTGCCTCTTCTCCAACTGCTTATGCTGATATCGAATGTGTATAAAATAGCCTATTAATGACTTATCTAGTTTATCCGACATAGTCGTATTTGTCTTTTTCCTGTCTAACTTGCTTTGTGTTGTTTATATCCACTTTTTAAATCCTTCTTGTAGTTATTTTCAAAGAAAGTTAACTAAAACATCCAGCTGAGAAAGCAACGTTAAGCAGGTTGTTGTCAGGGAATGCTGCTTCAGGGACTGCCCATAAGGTTCTACCCTTATCCAAAAATTAACCTATTAATTAAACTATTACTACTAGTACTATTACTACTGTCACTTATATGTGTATGTGATTTTTTTATGATTTTACTTGATTGCTCATTAATTTATGGAACACTTCACACTGATATTTGCATTATTACAACAAACATTACGATTATTTTACATTTCTCTGTTGGCCTACTGTGTGTTCTCCTTGCGCAATTGTCGGGATCTGATGGCACCACTTTCACCCTGACAAATCAATGAAAAAAAGGTGGAAACACTGCAAAATGTGCTTTATCTTTAAATATTAGTGGTAGTATTAGGTAAAAGACCTGACCTCAGAATCATAGACTGTATATTATCCAAACATTACTGCGTGGATAACAAAACAGTATATCACTATGACGACAATTACAGACACATATACAGAAAGAGTCCTCTTGCTGGTTCTGGGAATGCTCACCAATGAAATGTCCTGCTGCAGATCTCCACCTTTGTCCTCCTGGTCCTCAGACTGGGCCGGTGTTCTGCTGGCCAGACTTACCTTTCTTTTTCCGTGTCGTCCTGTTCGTGTGGCGCAGCAGCAGCTCCGTTAGCTTCTGGCCTGTCGCCTGACTGAGCAACCTCTACTGCATCAGTGTTTTCAGCTTCTTTTCAGACCACTCAAGAGAGCAACTCAACCATCCAGAACGGCACACTGGTGGTGACCTTACAGACCTCCTCCGTGATCTTCACCCCATTCTTCTACCTCCATTTTGTCTGGGTCGACTTCAGCGTTTACATCATCTTCATGTGCTACTTCGCCCTTGACCATCTTGTGTCAGACATCACTGAGGCTTGTTGTCTACCTCTGCAAACAAACCTTGTCCATGCAGAAGAAGCAGTGAGGCTCTCACCCTGCAGAGTTGTAGCTTCTCATCTGCAGGCTATTGATGGCTCTGGCTTTACCTCACCACACTGCTCACCATCTCCATCTACTATTTCCATGCAATCTTTGCTTCTGGGTGTGTGCAACATATTCTTCCTTGGCTTGTTGTTTTATTGCGTGGTCCAACAAAAACCTAAGACAGAAGCTCAGAGTGCTGTTATGCAGGGGAAAGAACAAAAACACACTGGACAGAATAACTGAAGATAAGCAAGTAACAGCCACTGTTTGACCTAAGTTTGACTGAACATATATGCAGCATCTCAGGTAATTATTCTCAAACTGAATTATGTATAAATCTTGTTCTCAAATTATGTAAAAAAGGATTATATTTATGTCACACTGAATAAAGTGGACCAAGTTGCGAAGCAGTCCATTGAGTCTTACTTTACTCACGTCCCAAAAGTAATCTTAAATCAGTAACTATCAAGTTCATAGTTAAGGCTAAGGGTAACTAGCTGGTTTGTGGACTGCAACATTTTTTATCTTATAAAGCACCAAGTCGGATACATCAGAACTAGCTTTCTGTTAAATAGACCTTTTCCTGTCCGGTGTAAATATGAACATGGCTTATTTAATTTACGTAGGTGTTTCAGTAGTTCCAGACTTCCTATGTCTCAACCTTTTTTCAATGATCTTCCTGTGTCAACAGAAACATTACTATGAAATGGCCGTAAGCATGGATGAGATGTATGAAGCTGTAGGCCTACATGTTGTTGTAAGTCAACAACATGTCAAGTCAATTTTCTTTAAATAGACATATTTCGTTTTTAAGTTAGGTTAGGTAACTGCCTCCAGCAACCTCTACCACAGCTTCTGTGTTGACAAGCAACACAGTTCCACATTTTTGTAGAAATTAATTATTTAACTTGCAATTCATTGTTGAGATCTTGAACCTTTAACTTTTGTTGCATTCTTACTCCCCAGACTGGGCGTAACATCAGGACACTTTTAACATAAAAAGTGCTATCTTTAACTGCAACTAACCATCGCAACAGCACTAAGGCAATGGTATAACAGCCAAAGTTCCCTCTCACGTGTCCTGAAATGAGACAGTAATGCATTAGACAGTCAGTGGATCTTTCATACGTTTTTATTCATCTTCACCTTCTTCTAAATCTAGTATTTTCTTACTTATCACATACATAATATGCCAATACTGTTATTAAAAATCTGACATCAGCAGGTCATTGTAAATATAATGCTGGTAACTCAAACCAGTAAAATGTGCGTGTGTGTGTGCATGTCTTCAAAGCAGTGGGGCCATTTTGTTGCAGTTCCTACTGATCACCTACAGAGGTCCATAAATGCCATGGGTTTCTTATCACTTTGAAGTTCACGTAAGTTCATGTTTGAATCTGGAAGTCAAACCTGCTGGTGAAGGTTTGTTTACCGAGGAGACGATTCTGTCTGCCAAAATACATTACTGATCTCATTCCTCTCAGGTAACTAACAACTAAACAGGAGCGTTCAGTCTTTATGCACCATCTGTAACTGAAACTCAGTTCTTTTAAATCAAGGCTGAAATTTTTTTTTTGAGGCTTTTCAATAATATCTTTTTTTTTATAATACCAATTTTATTTTCTGTTTACATTTTCAATATAAATATCAATGATGTAAATGTCTGCATTTTTCTATCTTCGCTGCTGACAACCCTGATGTGTATAAATATATAGCTATGCTCTTTAGTATACTTTGACAAAAATGTTAATATAATTTAACTACAAGTAACACCTTTGACTCATATTTTGTATATTTAAATCATTTTTCAAAATTAAAAAAGCCTACAAAAGCACACTTCATGCACAAGAGAATGCCTGATAGAATAAAGTTTATGGACTGTTAACCTATTAAAGAAAAAAAGTATGAGATAGAAACCACTGAACTAATAAATTAACAATGTGTTTCCTGCTTGGCTGTTAAAGTTTGGATCTTGCAAAAAAAACCACACATCTCCTCCATTCTCCCTGTGAGTTTCAGAATAGTTTTTAAAGATGCTGTGAGGCATGATCAGGGTCCCACTTTCTGTTCATTGTGAAATATTGATCTGCTCTTACACAACATCCTCAGTCATCCAGTGTCTACAAATGACACATGTAGATTTTAGTACATCAGTAAGGTAGAGTATGTTTGGATGTGTGGCAGTTTCTGTTGAGAACAAACACAAAAAAAACATGCCTGCCATGGGAGAGAGGATCTCCGAGAGCGACTGACTGCAGGGTGAAGGATTGTTAGTGGGATTCAGGAGTTATGCAAAGTGTTTCTCGCCAAATCACTGAGGTGACCCTCTTGTCCACCGGGGTCAACTCCAACGTAGGGGAGTGTGAGTGTCCCCACACCCTACGGGCGCCTTACACCCCACCCAGCCTCTGCAACCCTGGTCTGGTCCCTGACCTTCACTGCCACCCGTGTGGCAGCGCACCCGACCCCCGCAGTACCTCTCATGGGTGATGGGTGCATAGGATTGTGTTGCGCTAGGCTCCAGATAACACAGCCCTCAGGGACAGACTCATGAGGCTGGTGGAAAGGTTCTTCTTTAAAAGATTTGGGTAAAGTGTTTTTGTTTTT